TATTCCTGCATTGTTAATAATTCTCCGGATAGTTTAAGAGGTTCCTTCTTTGTATGGAAGTACACTGATATTTCATAACAGAAGCTTTGTTTATCGAATAATAATATCATGGTTATTGCAAGGCACCTTACAACTGTATACGTGTCCAAAATCAAACGTTAATGGCGCCATTTGACAATTAGACTATTTCTAACTAACGTCTTTCCCACTTCAACCTACATTGTCTAAATAGGTAATAAAATAGTTTTTTGACTTGTCACTCAGTAAACAGAACTAAATTACTATGCCTTGTTGTCAAATAAATTTCATCACAATAATCATTCTCTACTATTATGTAATATATCTCAGTCCTATAGCAGGTCAATCACAAGCCTGAATAGCCCAGTGGTAACGTCTCTGACATCATCGCTGAATAATGGTGAGGGTTTGAATCCCAGATGCGATATGACTTCCTTCAAGACTGCAGATATATACGCCTCGCTGATGAATGTCGACAAACACGAGACTTATACCCAGGGTTTCCTGTCGACTGCGTCCAACCACATCTAACATCATCTATCTCAGTTTTGTACAGTATTTTCAAACAAAAACAAAAAGCAATCAGATGCATTTTCTTTGTGTCTTTGCTGTATATTAGGAAGAGCAAAGCAACCGACAATATTAATTACTGAATACTAACCTTGTTTAAAGTCATCCAGTTGCATAGTGTTCACTTGTACAGTGTTTGCCGATATTCTATTGTATAGCAGATTCCTAATCTGAATAAATTATTATTAAATACTAATTTCAGTAGTAAGAATAAGACCTTACCTCATCTCTGGTCTTGATCACTTCATTCTTGTAGGTAGAAATGAAAAGGTAATGTCAGTAAGTATGCATTATACAGGTTTGTTATGTGAAAATTCACTTATGAAACAGAGAAGACGTTCAGCGAAGAGACTCTTTTCTATATAAGAATAAAACTTGTGCACTGTGGTAGAGTATAATTCCATTATGGATAACACTGTGAGACTTTATCAAAACAAAAATTTACCCATAATGGAAGAGACTCTTTTCGCTGGGAATTCATTCACATAGCTGTACAATCGAATTTATATATAATTATTTGTGTGTGTGTATACATGAGGTCTGTCAAGTTTAGATAATTGATCAGGCAATACAAGAATGATCTAATATAGAAACAAGGTTAATTAGACAGCAACTAAAGTAAGATTGAGTTAGTTAGTAAGTTAGATGACGTAATATAATTAACCAGAATGTTTCAACTTAGGTCAGGGTAGCAACAGAAGTAACTACAAGTAGAGACTAAGTAGAAGTGGGGTAGGGAATAACGCCATTTAAATTAGAACTAAAATTGAACAAATCAATTGGATGACGTAACCTAAATGACTAGAAATTGAGCGTTGGTCAAGTCAGTAACAGCGGTGACGAGGTGTAGAAATTAAATCGGGTGGAGGCACAGAACAGGAAAGTTGAAAATGTAAAATATTACAATTGAAAAAACAAAATAATACTAATGAAGAGACAGAAGAGAAAAAAAATTAAGTAGAATTTACCTCTCGGGTATTAAGATAGATTAAGTCCATTGCAAGTGTAGTGATCGAACGAATTTCTTCTGTATGAAGAGTTCAGGACTTAGCAAGTGAATCGCCATTGTTTCTGCAGTTTGACGAAGTCTGATTCGTACACCTTTAGGAAGACTACTTTGTATTCTGTAGACCACTTTGAAGTTTGTTTGCAGTGTAGCTTGGTGTCCGGAATCTTACTTTTTCCAGTTAAGACTGAAGGATACTTTGTACTGAAGTTTTTTTTACTGTCAATGATGAGAAAGGTGGATATGGTCGAATAGACCACGAGTGATACGAATCTAAAACGAGGATGAACCAACCCTAATCTTCAATAATCTTCAAATTCCTTTTTTAGATGTCTTAATCAAGAGAATTAACACAGGAAAACTGCCAACACAAGTGTACAGAAAATCAACGCACACACACACAGATCAAATACTCAACTGTAATAACAGTAATCCAATGACTCATAAAAGAAACTATATGTGAGCGTCGTTTAAAATATTTCAAACACACTGTAACACTCCAGTACTGAAGAGAATGAAGGAGAAATCTCGACTAACTGTCTTCAAGAAGAATGAATACCCTTACAATTTCATAAAAATGTTTAAACGCACATCGAACTACCAGCAAGAAAACTCCCTCTACCATGTATATAAAGAATATCTCTGAAGTAACGACTAGAATACTAAAACCACGTAGAGTAGACATAGCACACAAACAAACACAATCACTTCATTCAATATTGTATAAATCAAAGGATCCAACAGCAAAAGAGGATAAGATCAATATCATCTACAGAGTAAGCTGTGATAAATACTACATCGGTCAAAGTGGGAACGTCTACTTTGAATCCGAATTCAAGAATACAAATTAGCTGTGAAAAGACACGATATTTATCCTTTCATATCAGTGCATGTGGATAATAATGGACACCAATTTGATTGGGATAGAGATAGAGATGTAAATTAATAAACAATCACGATAATTTTGAATAAAGCAAGAACAACAGTGGTTTGTGCAGAATGAGAAGATGGTGCCATCATTGCTTATTTCGTTGGTTTCTCATCAGTTGTTTATAGCCTAAATAAATTATTATTAAGTTCATGTACAGAAAATTTTTAACATACTTGAAGACTTTACATGATGTCAGTTGACAGGAGGTTCTGGACTTAGTGAACAGTGCTAACCCTGCCTAGGTAAATTCTTGGCAGAAGTTGGGTCTCAGGGGCTATTAAGTCGGCTCCCAGTGGCTGAATGATCTACAAGCCTACCTCATATCCCAAAGATCCGAACCCCGGTGGATGCGTACTTCCGACGAATCCAAAACTTAAGCGAAAAAAGCTGTACAGTACCCTCTGTTGGTTTTCTAATGGTTGTCTAACTGATGTCAACGCATGTTCAAACCTGTAACCAATCAAATCCCTGCAAACCAACACTTGACAAATTCTTTTAAATCAAATGTTTGTATTTGAACGTCAGATTTCGCTTGAATAATTTTCCCCGTGAACATAATCAATACTTCAAATACATGAGTTGTTGAAAATAGAAGATACATTCGCCGTGTTAAAATCTCAACACATCCCTCAATTCCCTACACATATAAAGTCAACAGACGACAGAATCCAATTCGCTTCTGAGTTATTAGAAAACGAACAGGGTGAGTTGGTTATGCTAGACTGTAGAATAAAACGAAAACAAAATGGTGGGCTAGATACTAGCATTTATAGGAAACTGACATACTCTCCAGTAAATATTTAGACTTGAACTCATCCCATCTGGAATCGGTAAAGATAGGCTTAGTTAAATGTCTGTATAATTGAGCCAGGAGTCTAACTAGTAAGCCACAAGATTTAAATAATGAAATCAAACAAATAAAGGTAGTATTACTAGTGAATAAACCTACCCACCAGAATTTATTCAAAAACATATGAAAATCCATAGGAAAACTAAGATTAGCTATAAAAAGGATGAAAATAACATAAAATTCAAAGCCTCTGTAGTACTGCCGTATGAAGAAGGAATATCAGAGGCCTTACGTAGGATTCCTAATGAGGTTGGAATTAGGGTGAAATTTCAACCAACCAACTCTCTCAGAGATAAACTTTGTTGGCTTAAAGACCTCACAGATCCAATTAGGAAAAACAATATAACTTATCAAATACCATGTAATTAATGACTGTGAGGTCAATTACATAGGCCAATCAAACTAGTAGATATGGGTCAACTAGATTATTGGAACATAAAAATTTAGCTAGACGTAGAATGATTGACCCTGTTAAGTCGAGTAACCTAGAAAAAAAGTTCAGCCATTGCATTGCACTGCATTCACTTACATGTAATCATAAATAGGTTGGGTGGGACTGCGTGAAAGTATTAAAAAGTAATATAGTTAGGTGTAGAGAAAGAGATTAATCACTGAAGCTTTGTTTATCTACTCAACACCGAACAAGTGCAATCAAAATGACGCAGCGCCTATACCGGCGATATGGAAAGTGGCAACAAATAGCAAAGGGAAGTTGGTGAGACAGAAAGAGAGGCTATATATATATATATATATGAGATAAACTGTGAAAGCGTACAACTAAACTGATATGATTATGAGCAATAATTTATGCTGCGTCGGTGGCACATTGGTTAGGACTCTCGCCGACCATGCACATGGTCCGGGGTTCGAGCCCGCACCGATGCACATCTGATATCTATGGTCGGCCTGCAAAATTTGGGCTACCGATATCCATGCTGAAAATTCCATACTTGTACCGAAAATAGTGTGGAATCAAGCTGTAAATCAAAAAATAAAATGATAAAAATAAAATGCTGGAAACCCTGTCATTCAGTTGTTAATACCGCATCACCACTGTGTGATATTGAAAACAAACTTATCTAATAGGGAATTATTGCATTCTATTGTGGTGAGAGCAGGCTGCTAGCCAGTTGGTAGACATTAATTTACGTCAATGTCTAGGTCGCTAATATTGGCCGTGAGAAAATATGAATAAGACTGATTCAACAACCAATCACAGCAGCCTTAACGTGGGCAAATATGATTCGCAAATATATCGCTTCACTTTCTGAGAAACCAGTCACAAGCAGTACAGAATAACCTTGAGCAAGAAACAACCAATCAGAAGACTGTGTTTGTCTGCTTGAATAAACTATTATAATGTACATGAAATATACATAAATACGTGCTGATTTCCGTAATAAACGATCTGTTGCCTGGCCCTTGTCTTCTGTTGTTACACTATCACCACAGTAACCAAGTTCTGTACTTACATGAAGTATAAGGAAGTCTGTTAGAGAAAGCTTCATTTTACAAATCAATACTTATTTTATAGATCGTAGTAATTAATGATTAGAAAAGGTGGAATTGTACATACCAAAAAAAATCAATAGTAACAACTGTTAGCGGGTGAACAAGATTAACATCTAATTTGTTTGTTTAATTTGTCGATGAATAATTAGATAAGATTCGCGTTTTAATTCTTCACGAGTTGGAGCATTTGAATCTTCTTGGTGTTTCTCATTTTCTGCTAGTCACAATTCGGGGGAAAAAAAGATGGTTAAAGAGATTTGCAGCTATGATGGTGATTTCAAAGTTAATTGTTTTATTGTTGTCCATACACCATCCATTTACAGGGATATGTAATGCAGTGTGAATATATGAACTTATCAGAATTTAGTCTGTAGCACAGACAGTATAAGTTCTTCCATTTTGATTTGTTTATTAGATATATCACATAGTGATGAAACAGTATTATTTACTGCATGACGTTTCGAAAAAAATGCATTGTTCATAATCATGGTGTTAAATATAATCACACAACTTCGAAACTTCCGTTCTATAGTTTTCTTTGTCCCCTCCTATTTGTCGTCGTACGGGTTAGTAGAATTTTCCAGGTGGACAGGTGATGAAACAATCCTTATTACACGTGTTTGCAGTTGATTCGATAAACAAAGCTTCTGTTATCATTCTCACCCTCCACTCTGTTACATTAGACTTTAAAACTGTCATGCTATCAAATCCTATTGTATGTTTGTGTGTAATTGCATGTAGTGAGTGGTATAGCTGAACTATTCTCTAGATTTCTTAACGCATTAGGGTTAATTAATCTAGATTTTTCTAGGTGTTTTTGCTCCACTGGTCTGACTGACCTCGTTCGACTAACTTGACCTATGTATTTGACCTCACTGACAATCATTGCAGGCAGGGTATTAGATAAACTAAATTGTTTTGTTTAATTAACTCCAAAGGATTGATCCTTTAACCGACGAAGTTTGTTTCTAATTGAGCTTGTGGGTTTGAATGCCACTTTTATTCCTGCATTGTTAATAATTCTCCGGATAGTTTAAGAGGTTCCTTCTTTGTATGGAAGTACACTGATATTTCATAACAGAAGCTTTGTTTATCGAATAATAATATCATGGTTATTGCAAGGCACCTTACAACTGTATACGTGTCCAAAATCAAACGTTAATGGCGCCATTTGACAATTAGACTATTTCTAACTAACGTCTTTCCCACTTCAACCTACATTGTCTAAATAGGTAATAAAATAGTTTTTTGACTTGTCACTCAGTAAACAGAACTAAATTACTATGCCTTGTTGTCAAATAAATTTCATCACAATAATCATTCTCTACTATTATGTAATATATCTCAGTCCTATAGCAGGTCAATCACAAGCCTGAATAGCCCAGTGGTAACGTCTCTGACATCATCGCTGAATAATGGTGAGGGTTTGAATCCCAGATGCGATATGACTTCCTTCAAGACTGCAGATATATACGCCTCGCTGATGAATGTCGACAAACACGAGACTTATACCCAGGGTTTCCTGTCGACTGCGTCCAACCACATCTAACATCATCTATCTCAGTTTTGTACAGTATTTTCAAACAAAAACAAAAAGCAATCAGATGCATTTTCTTTGTGTCTTTGCTGTATATTAGGAAGAGCAAAGCAACCGACAATATTAATTACTGAATACTAACCTTGTTTAAAGTCATCCAGTTGCATAGTGTTCACTTGTACAGTGTTTGCCGATATTCTATTGTATAGCAGATTCCTAATCTGAATAAATTATTATTAAATACTAATTTCAGTAGTAAGAATAAGACCTTACCTCATCTCTGGTCTTGATCACTTCATTCTTGTAGGTAGAAATGAAAAGGTAATGTCAGTAAGTATGCATTATACAGGTTTGTTATGTGAAAATTCACTTATGAAACAGAGAAGACGTTCAGCGAAGAGACTCTTTTCTATATAAGAATAAAACTTGTGCACTGTGGTAGAGTATAATTCCATTATGGATAACACTGTGAGACTTTATCAAAACAAAAATTTACCCATAATGGAAGAGACTCTTTTCGCTGGGGAATTCATTCACATAGCTGTACAATCGAATTTATATATAATTATTTGTGTGTGTGTATACATGAGGTCTGTCAAGTTTAGATAATTGATCAGGCAATACAAGAATGATCTAATATAGAAACAAGGTTAATTAGACAGCAACTAAAGTAAGATTGAGTTAGTTAGTAAGTTAGATGACGTAATATAATTAACCAGAATGTTTCAACTTAGGTCAGGGTAGCAACAGAAGTAACTACAAGTAGAGACTAAGTAGAAGTGGGGTAGGGAATAACGCCATTTAAATTAGAACTAAAATTGAACAAATCAATTGGATGACGTAACCTAAATGACTAGAAATTGAGCGTTGGTCAAGTCAGTAACAGCGGTGACGAGGTGTAGAAATTAAATCGGGTGGAGGCACAGAACAGGAAAGTTGAAAATGTAAAATATTACAATTGAAAAAACAAAATAATACTAATGAAGAGACAGAAGAGAAAAAAAATTAAGTAGAATTTACCTCTCGGGTATTAAGATAGATTAAGTCCATTGCAAGTGTAGTGATCGAACGAATTTCTTCTGTATGAAGAGTTCAGGACTTAGCAAGTGAATCGCCATTGTTTCTGCAGTTTGACGAAGTCTGATTCGTACACCTTTAGGAAGACTACTTTGTATTCTGTAGACCACTTTGAAGTTTGTTTGCAGTGTAGCTTGGTGTCCGGAATCTTACTTTTTCCAGTTAAGACTGAAGGATACTTTGTACTGAATTTTTACTGTCAATGATGAGAAAGGTGGATATGGTCGAATAGACCACGAGTGATACGAATCTAAAACGAGGATGAACCAACCCTAATCTTCAATAACCATATCTAAGCCAAAATAAATTTACCTCCTCCTCGTGGAACAAACAACAGAACACGGACGCGTGACAGATACATTTTACTACATCGGTACTTCTGAGAGCAATGCAGAGCACATATACATATACATTCTGCAACGGTAGATAGTGTGTCGGTGGCACAGCGGTAGAGTGCCTGCCAACCACGCTTCATGTGGTCCGGGGTTCGATCCCTGACAGACTGACGCACTCCTTTACCTCGCTAACCTAGTAATAACAGTGGTAAACAGAGAGGGTTGGGCATGAACCTAGCAACCTCATCCTGTAAAAATAATCACCACTGCTAAAGAAACTTCAAGTCTCTAGCTTGAAGGCCTATGTTCCCCTGGGAACGTAAAGGAATAAGAAAACGGTAGGTCACTTCTCAAATTTACTAGCTTTCAACATTAGACGCTGACTTTCAGTGTTTAATTCTATTGGTTAATCTGCAGGTGCACTGTCAAGTATTCACAACATTTGGTATGCTGTCGCGCTACTTTGTGTTTTTCATGTGCGCATTTTAGCTAGTTAAGCATCCATCACGACTCTACTCTCCTGATCCCTATCATATCATGGACGACCAATTAAGTGTTTTGTGATTTGACTTCCGAAAAGCTGTCTGGTCTAAGCGGGGACAAGTGTATCCAGTGTTGGAGAATATACACTTACATTTGCCTATAACGTATCTTACATACCCCTCCCTAGACATACTTCATCTTCTAAAATTCTACATAACATTGACAAGAACTACTAAATGTCAGAGTGTGTGATCTGATACTAATCAGTGATCAGACTGGGAATTTTAACTGTCATTGTATTCCCTCGGTATTTTACATGATCACAGACGGTTGGTAAAAGACTAAATTTGTCGATATTATTGTCCATCGATCTCATAAACAGGGTCGAAGATAAAGACTCATTTCGACTTTATCATACTTTTGAAAGCCTAAAATAGAAGCTAATAGGTAAATAAAACTTCCAGTTCATTATTCCTCTTTTCATTGGAAACTTATTTCTAGAGTTTTTACACGTGTGGAAATCCATCCCTTCTGAGATTCGAACCCGTGTCACCCAGTGAGTACTTCAGTCACAGACGTGATGGCGAGCTACTTAGAATGGTAGCCACATTGCAAACTTGACTGATAGAGTTCAGTCTGCACCAGAAAACAAAGAACTAGACACATCACACTAGTTACTAGTGTCGAATCAAAGTATCTACTACAGTCCTACAGGAGGTCAATCGTGAGCTCGAAAAGCCAGCTCATCGGTAGCATCTCAGACTGCAGGTGGTACTGGGTGACGCAGGTTCGAATCTCAGTAGGGACATGACTTCCTTCAAGGCCTTCAACGCCTTGCTGACTGACTGGGAGTGCCAACTAGCACAAAACCTGGGTGAGGCTGGGCTTCCTGTGGTCGATTGCTTCCAACGATCTAATATCATCAAACTTAACGTATTCGCCTAACATATTAACTTACTTTAACACTGTGAATTCTCCCATCTTTTACTTGATCAATATTCTCAACCGCCTTTTTTAATTCAGCATGCATATCTAAACACTTCTTCAAGATATCAACAGGGTTAGATTCTAAATCGATTTTATATTTTTCTTCCCGATTGTTTACTATCAACAACATTTTGTAATATAATTGATGAATGCTGAAACGTAATGTTAACTGCAACATTTGTAGATTTTGAATTTCTTCATTGAGTTGTTTTGTCTTGAGTGAATGACTTTCTTTCATTAAATTAAGTTGATTCTGTAAACTCATGTTGCTATAGAAACGATGAATGTGTACTTCATTAAATTTAAATGATTACATTTTAAACAACTTTTTTTTATTGTAAAATACAACGAATAATGTAATGATTGAGTTGAGATTATAGAATCTGTGGGGATTTTAGACTAATTTCAACCGTTGGATTTTCGTCACGAACCAACATCGGTTAGACAGAGATCATTGAAAACCAGCCAGGAGCACTGGACAGCTGCTTCATCCTAGTTTGGGACTCTTCAGCGGCGGAAATCGAAGACCCCTCTCGGGAATTCAACTCGGTAACCTTCACATCATGAGACCAAGCTTAATGATCATTCAATGACCCATGAATGCCAACTTTGTCAACTCATAACAAAGCGCCACCCTCACCAGTGCCCTCGATTAGCATTCACTTCACTCTATAATCTGAATATCAATCTTCTGCTCACTGATGTCTACTGGATGGATGTTGTTATGATGCTAGATCTTTTGTCACGAGGTCACTGCTTAACTACTGACCAGTGGCCACTTAACTGGTAAAGCAGAACACGCGAGAATCAGCGGTAAAACCAGCTTCATTTATTATGACAAAAGTGACTGTATTTATATAGAAAATAAGGTAGACTGGAAATCAACCAATCCGGTTGAGAGTTGGAATTGTGCAAGCGTCCAATCAGAAGCAGGAACAATTGCATGTCAACGACTTGTTAATAACGCGATAATAACTTGACTGAGACATGACAATGACCTGATAATTGCATGTGTTTTTGCCTCTTCCTAACAGATGTCCTGAAGTTGCAGTGGAAAGTCGTGACCAGTGAGGTCCACCATATGTCAAAGTGAATTGGATTCTCATCGAAAGCACTGGTGAGGGCGGCACTAAATCACGCGTTGACAAAGTTAGAATTCAGGGATTATTGAATTCCATCCAGCCCAAGTGTCTGAATAGTTAACGAGCTTGTTGTCATAACCTGAAGGTCCTGAGTTCGCACAGCTGAATAGTCGCAAAATAAGACGAAACAGCTGTCCAGTTCTCCCTCGCTGGAGTTTTCAATGATCTCTGCCTAACCGATGTTGGTTTGTGACAGAAATTCTAACAAATCAGTGAGTTTGCCTGATGATCTGACTCAAAACTTCACTGTCTTTTATCAAGTAATAAGGTTCTACTTTAGCTTTAGTTTTTGTCTTTCAAACAGTAATATATTGTTTGACTGATGGTTCACATAAACTTGTCACTCACTAGTGATTCACAGATAATCTACTGATAGTCAGGAGCTCTTAATCATCGTTTTTCTTCTTTGTCGATTACGAAGCAAGGATTTTTGTCATGATCGGAGTTTTCTGTATAATTAGGCCATCTTGTTGTTTATCACTGATGATAACAGATCTGATTCTAGTTGAACGTCTTATCTCTCATTAAGTAAAAATCAATATTTGATGATCTTTTATTTTAACTGTGATACTTTTGATAATATTTTATTTCTTAACGATTACTACACCAATACTCTTGCCTTCGCATCTAAATACGTTTCATTTAAGACCGTAAGCAAATCAATAAAAGTGAAATTTTAGGTTTGGCCATGGATTGATATTATTTAGAAAACTATTGGGAACCAACAGGGAGTACTGGATATCTGTTTCGCCCTCCTTCTTTGGGACTCATCGGCAATACGCACTCGCCGACGGGGTTCAAACCCCGGACCTTCTGATTTCAAGTTAACCTAATGAACCATTCAGCCTCTGGGGCCCAATTCAATGACCAGCCCATGAATTCTGATTTCCACCAATTCGTTATTTTAGAGAGTTTACCTGATTCAAACCCTGGCGGTGAATGCGTATTGACGACGAGTCCCAAACTAGGACGAAATAGCTGTTCAGTACTCCACACTGGTTTCCAATGAATCTCTAACTGATATGAATTCGTGGTCAAACTTAAAACAAATCAAGACTCTAGAAACTAACTCTTGAAAAGTGGGGCCAAGGTTCGATTCCTGGCTGGCTCACTGCTTTACCTCGCCAAACCATTAATAAGACTGGTAAAGAGGGAAGGTCGGGCATGACGCTAGCAACTCCATCCTGTAAAAATAAACGCCACTGCTACTGGAACTTCAAGCCTCTAGCTAACGTAAAGGAACAAAAAATAAAAATATACCTCTTTCTCTATGACGATAAGATTTGGTGTCTTTGTATTTGAAATCAGATTAATTGTCATCGATGTCAATATTCATAATATATTTAAGATGCCTAATGTTCCATAACTGTGTAATCTTCTATGAAAATTTGCATGGTCAAAAATTTCTATATCGTTTACCCAAATATCCTCTATATGATTACTGATCAGTGAAGATTTGTGTCATATTCGATCAAATCTCCTAGATGAACAACAATTCAGAACATATTAGTGACCAGTTTTCACAGGGATTTCCTGTGAATTCATGACGGCTGAGACATGGGAAGTGTCATTCATCGATGACACCTGATGACAATCCTTTTACACCGAGGGAAATTAGGATGATTAAATGCTGATTTAGTAACAACAGAGTAGCAACGTGTTAACTACAAGATTCGAATTGTGAACTTTATCTTCCAAGGGGTGTGCACCTCTTATAAGTTGGAAAACAAGTTGAATTTAAGTGATTTTCTAACGCTTGTTGATATGTGAAATGAATTGATTTTATGCTGTATATTTAATTAGCTGAAACATTAAAACAACTATACGAATTTTAACAAAAGCTTTTATATACATTTACTCAAATCACCCAGCAACTATCGAAATTCACATGGTTTGATATGATTCACTTCCCCTATGGTGAGAGCTGTCTGCTAGCCAAAATTTGGTACACAGCAATTTACATCAGTGTTTAAGTCCCAAATCTCAGTCATGAGAAAAAAATAAGAACAAAGACTAACTCAACAGACAATCACAGCAGACTTTGCGTGGGCGGATACGATTCTCAGATATATGGTCTGACCTTGAAAGAAATGGCCACAAGGAGATGACAGAATAACCTTGAGCAAGGAAACAACCAATCAGCAGATTCTGTTTCTCTGCTAACAATGACGAATAATAATGTACATAAAAAAATATATAATTATCTCTGGATTTCCTCAATAAACGATCTGTTGTGTGGCCCTTGTCTTCTGTCGTTACTCCCCGAACTCAGTCATTTCGGAAACATCGCTGATGAGCATTGGAGAAGTGAAAAGAACACAAAGAAACACAACATGAAGTCCAGATGTAGCACAACACGAAGATCTGTGGAAATGGTGCGTTGAAGATAAGGTGTGCATAATTCGGCTATATAGAGATATCGATTTCCAGTGCACTTCCAATCATTTCACCAGACGTTTCATGGATAACATTTATGGCCTGTCTGATGTCATTTGAAGGCGAAGATTAATAACTGTCAAGATTTACAATAACCTCAAGACCAGAGATATTTTTAATTTATCGAGCAAGATTTCTGGTCACAATTCAGAAGCTGTAATGGGAAAAAAGTAGAACAACTGGCGGGTTCAAATCTAAAGTGAGACAACAATCTTTGATTTTATTACAGTTGACTAATAATTGATGCGGAAGTTTACCCATTTGAATTTATATTGTATAAATGCTGACAGTTTAATGATAGGCTAGAATTCAACCAGAATGTACCATTTATGAGGTACACCAGATCATTGTGAGATTAGGTTCCCTGTTACTTTTGGAGTATTTTCATTATTCCTTCTTGTTCTGTTGGAATAAACATATCACTGTCATCGAGTGAATCTTCTCATTTAATAGTTTTCTGTGTGAAAGTGTAGTAGGAACTTGTCCAAGGTCTACTTCTGTCGGTTGATAATCGTAGGAATATTCAACGATTCAGTGAAGCCTTTGAAGGGAAGATAGAATTAAAGCAAAGCTTCCTACTTCCAATGATGATATTCATAATTGTGCCGGACTGATTCATGAAACAGACTCTGAGAAGTGAGGAGACAGGAATACGTTGGGCCAGTAAGAAGACTGCAGAAGATCTGAGCTTCGCGGATGATTTATCTCTAGTGTTACATATATTCGAAGATCTACTGGCAAAAACTAAAAAAAATTTGAGAGAACAGGCAGAAAGCAAAGATAGGATTTCAAGTGAACATAGAGAAAACAGAAGTGATGAGGCTACCCAACTGTCTGTCTGTCTGTCTGTTTTCGACATAGAACTATACACAAATGTGCGGAAGTTCAAGTCGCCACACTCCGTGTAGCACGCGAAGCAAGAGAAGAAAGTACAAGAAAAGCATAATAGAAACAGTGAGCAGAGGTGTGAGACAAAGGAGGAGTAATAACGAAGAACAAAACAGTTTCATTGGAGATCATAAGTCACAGGGAGTGGATGCATCTGCGCCACTGAGAACGATTTTGAGCCATGTCACCAATTGTTTCCAACCATAGATTTTTACCGTCCCGAGGACCCCAGCCTGGAAGTCTACACCTTCCTATGTGGCTTAGACCAACTGTTGTGGATTTCATTGACTGGTGCCAAGTTTTTGTTTGACCGCCGCTAGCTTTTTTCCAGCCTGACCCTATATCCGCTAACATAGCTCGTCGAGGGAGGCGATGGCTTGGCATACGTAACACATGTCCTAACCAACGATAAATAATAACACGCACCGACCAGTATCACTGGGAGAAATCTAAAGAAGATCCTGTCTTTCACTTGCCTGGTCAGCTCCAAGAATGAAAGAAGAAAGGCTACCTCGTCAGGCGACTTACGCCTCAACCTGCAAGAACTGGCGTGGGATAATGTTCCAGTCCACGCCAAGTAAAATACTGAGTCGCATGACCCTGGAGAGAATAAAGGATGCACAGGGTATAGAACTCCGCCCGGAACAAGCTGGATTCAGGAAAGGCAAATTATGTGCTGATCAGATTGCAACCGTAAGCATTGTCATCACAGAACAAAACATAGAATAGCAGTCAAACCTCTCTCTACCTCAACTTCATTGACTTCGAAAATGTACTCGACAGACAGCGTTGACCGAGACGTAATTTGGAAACTACTTCAACACTACGCCGTGTAGTGACCAAGTCTTCATCAACCTTATTCAACAGCTGGTTATATGACAATGCCACGTGCCAGATGGTCCGCAACGGAGAACTTAGAGAGGTGTTCTAAGTTCAGATACGAGTAAGACAATTCTGGCTGTCTATTATCACTGATGATATTCTCAATTGTAGTGGACCGGATTATGCGTCAGAGTACGCGTCGGGAGTGAGCAGACAGGAATAAGATGGACCGCCAATAAGAAGACTCTAAAAGATCTCGATTTCGCAGATGAAATATGTCTAATATCACACAAACTCGAAGACTTACAGGCGAGAACCATCAGATTGGCAGAAGAGGCTGGCAGAGAAGACAGGACTCCAAGTGAACACAGGGAAGACGGAGGTGATGCAGATAACCAACAGCAACAACAACAATAACCAGCACCATCAACGGGAGGGATTTGACGGAGGTTGCCTCGTTCATTTATCTGTCTGGGCAGCATCGTTTCAACTACAAGTAAGTTGGAACGGATGAATGTATCAAAGTCAGAATCGGAAAGACAAGATACATCTTCATCTGCCTGAATAATAATTTAATTATTAATAATTTTTTCCTTCACGTTCCCAGTGGAACATAGGGCTCCAAGCTAGTGGCTTGAAGTTTCTGTAGCAGTGTTTAATTTTTACAGGATGGGGTTGCTAGCTTCATGCCCAACCTTTCCTCTTTACCAGGATTACTTCTGGCTCAGGGAGGTAAAGGAGTGAGCCGGCCGGGGGTCGAACCCCGGACCATATGCATGGTCGGCAAACGTCCTAACCGCCATACCACCGACGCACCGATGCCTGAAACCAGTTTGGAAATCTTCCGCACTCAGTGAGTATGAAGTACGAGGTTTGGATTTTCACTAATTTCAAGTCAGCCCTTCTATACATGTCAGAAACTTGCATTGAGTATCATAAAAAAGAATTTCCAAAAAGTTTCAAACTTTTATGAACATCTGCCTTCATCTCATATTGAAGATCAAATGGCTGGTCAGAAAGAATTAGGAACAAGAAACTCTGGCTGGGAACAAGCCAATAAGCAAGAGCCGATTGCTCAAAAAAATATGTAAGAGAAAATGGAGATGGATCGGGCATGTGTTGAGGAAACCGTCAAATGACATTGCACGCAATGCAAGCTATCGCTTGAATGGAATCCCAGTGGAAAGCGACAAGTGGGTCGTCTGTGTAAGGGTGACACGGAGGAGGCCTTTTGACGAGGAGACAAGAGATTGTGGGCAATTGTGGACCCAGATGAAGAGGACGACAGAAGATAGAACGAGTGGAGATGTATTGTTGAAGCCGTATGTTCCACTTGGAATTCAAGGGAATAATAATAATATCTAAGAGGTGAATTTCCAGCTTTAGGGTTTAAAAAAAGAATCGCAAATCACATGCTGATTTCTTTAGCTCTTATTGTAGGTAATATGGACAATGAACCCTACGGACAGTGTCAATCTTTTCGTTTCGGATAAATGATTTTAAGTTTGACTGTATATCAGTAATTAAAAGTACTTACTGGTATGCTTCCCTGCTATAATTCATCATCAGTTCAGTATATTTCTTCTTTAAGCGCAAATGCTTCCTTTGTAGCTGTCTCAACTCGTTTTCATTGGATAACTTTTTTTCTAATAAACTCATTCTAATATTATTTGTTCTTCAAATTTCACTTGAATTAACTTTAAATTGTCAATTCCAGTGATTGATTTTATTTGGTTAAATAATAATTCATAGAAGGCTAAACGTTGTTCTAACTCGTCTTGTTTTTTAATCTTCCTCAGTGATGTTTTTCCTTTTTCTGATTTATCGTCGTCATCGTCTTCTTCTCCTTCTACTACTAAGATCTCATCCACTTCATTCATCTCAGTGAACTATAAATAAAACAACCAGGGAAGAGCCAATAGGAATTTAGTAATTTATATATTCTTGTAATAATCTATCTACAGGCGGTACAGATAAAGACGTCAAAACTACCTAGAATCGGAAGGATAAGATAAATCTTCGACACTCTGAAATCAATGTCGACATCTTCTGAACTCAACTCAGTACAGGCAACAAAATTTGGATTCAAGTGTTGGTTTGTAGGGATTTGTGTGATTGCATGGAGGACTTAATCATGAGCTGACATTGGTTAGAGAACCATTGAAAAACTAGCTGGGGGTACTGGACAGCTACCTGTCTCGTCCTAGTTTGTGACTCTCCATCAGTATGCACCCACCGCCCGGGTTCGAACCTAGGACCTTCTGGTTACAAGGCGAGATAGCTCGTAGACCATTGAGCCACTGGGACTCAATCCAATGACCAGTCCATGAATTCTAACTTCTGCCAATTCACGATAAAATTTGGATTTCCAACACCAATGTTAAGTCATTCACTACTTCTATATGAGTCAGAAATTTGGCGAACGCATCATGAAAAGTATTTCCAGCCGGTTGCTTCAAACATTCGCTGGCTCCATATTATAGATCAGATGGTCAGAAGTAATTGGCAACAAGAAACTGTGGCTGGGAACAAACAAATTGCTCAAGAAATATTCCAAAGACAATGAAGAGGGATTAAACACACGCTGAGGAGACTGTCGAATGATATCGTACGACAGGCCAGCTGTCGAGTGGAACCTGAATGAGAAGTGAGGAGTTGTATGTTGGTTCTAGTGTGAAATGGAGGAGATCAGAGACTGTGAGCAATTGTGGGGGCAGCATAAGAGGATCCCAGAGAATAGGCTGAAGTGGAGATGTTCTGTTTTAGCCCTCCCTATGTTCCACTCGGAACCTATGGAAACAATAATAATACCACCTTATCAGTCTTACCTATTGTATGACTCCAACCTATAGTACAACCTGTTTTTTATTTTATTTTTTATTACAGCTTGATTCCACACTGTATTTTTGGTACAAGTATGGAATTTTCAGCGTGGATATCGGTAGCCCAAATTTCGCAGGCCGACCATAGATATCAGGTGTGCGTCGGCGTGGGCTCGAACCCGGACCATGTGCATGGTCGGCGAGAGTCCTAACCACTGTACCACCGACGCACGTTTCAGTGCTTGTAACATTTCACCCCACTATCTAACTTCATAGGTTGCGGAGAAAGTTTTGACCAAATAAAAATCCAATAGTGCTACTGAATACTCTTCAAAACTGCATCAGATCTTAAGAATTTTCATTGAAGATTTCTGTTAAAAGCAACATCCAGACTCAAACTGACATACAAAAGCTAACAGCTGATCAGACTATTTAATTCAACTTAGATTTTCCTGATCGATTGATTGGATTGAAGTCTTAGGTTGGAATGCCGGCTCTTTATCCAGATGCATTCAAGATGTCTCATCATGTAACTTGAAGTCGGCTGATGGATGGTGACTAGCAGTGGAATTCAGGATGCGCGTCTCGTCCCATCTGGGACTTGTCAACTGGATGTGCCTGTATCACTCATCGCGGAATCCAGGCACATCCAGTTGACGAGTGACAGGTAGGATGAAATGCGCATTCTGGATTCCACTGCAAGTCACCATCCACCACTTTAACTGATCACACCGCCTCACAGAATATTCACAAGATAACTTTTAATTATAAGTGTTTTGCGGGATGTATTTATAGTTACAAGTGATATCAGCTCATGATGAAACCCTCCAACCAATCAGAAAAAATTCCCTACAAAAGCAGTACTTGAAAATTAATCTGGCTCTCACACGCGAATGGTCCTATTCAGGCAGTTAACCTGGGGTTCTAGTGGGAAGCCGTGACCAGTAGGGTACAGCAGGTCGAAGATGAGACAGTAACTCATCGAAGAAGACATTGTGAAATGATTGCGCTGTGTCATGAATTGGCAGAATTTGCAATTAATGGGCTGGCCATTGGATCGGGTCCCAGTGGCTCAATGGTCTACGAGCTAGCTCGCCTTGTAACCAGAAAGTCCTGGGTTCGAACCTTGGCGGTGGGTGCGTACTGATGAAGAGTCCCGAGCGCCAGGACGAAACAGTAGCTGTTCAATACCCCCAGCTAGTTTTCCAATGGTTCTCTAAATGATGTCAGCTCATGATGAAATCATCCAACTAGTTACAACTGAGTAAAGACTGACAAGGTCTAGTGACAGAAAAGAATGTGCGTCGGTATTTCAATGGCAGAATATTTAGCAGACGGCAAACGCAACCCTAGATCTCTCCAAGTGAGGAGGAAAGGAAAAGTTAGGTATGAGACTAACATCTCTCCCCCCTCCGTCGTAAAAATCAACATCACTGTTACTGAAACTTCAAATTCCTTCTAGCTGTATGTTTCACTTGGAGCACAAAGGACGGAAAAAGCACAAAAGATAATCAAACGAATCGATCTACAATTAAAACGAACTTTACTTAGCAAAAAAAGCTAAACAGCTTAAATGAATGGTGTCTATCGATTTAAAATGAATATTTTCCTTACTTCAGCTGAGTGAAACACAGCTAATTGGTAAGATTATGACAGACTAGACTAACGAAAGGAAACGATTTGAAAATCCACTTTATATTACTCAGTACTTTTGACTTTCAGTGCATAAGTTTAAATTTAAAAAATGTCATTCGACTGGAATAAAAATGCGCCTAGTCCTTTCAAATTTTACAACCATTCATGAAATCAGTACACGTTGACCTCAGCTCCATACGTCGAAGGCCCTTTTAAAGTCGATGTAGTTGAGTAAGGTAGTGAGCTGACTGACACTCCAAGCTCTATTCAATAACGATCCGTAGTATAGCGACTTGATCCATGTCTGACTTGTTTCTCCTGAATCCAGCCTGCTCCGTTCACAGTTTTTATCCAGGGAGTGTTTGATTCTCTCCAGGAAAATGCATCTCAGTAGTTTGCTTGCGATAGACAGGAGCATAATGCTGTGCCAGTTCTTGCATTGACCTAAGTCCCCTTTCTTTGGCAGTTTTGCAGTGGTCATAGACTTGCCTAACCAACATAAATCTCACTTAGCTACGCCTAAATATTGATTTGGTGATCAAAATCAATCTGAAAATAAACCACAGATGGCTATACATCCCTTTATGATTATCTCCCGTCACGCGAACGCCACTAGTTATACATAAATCCTTTTATGGGCATCTTTCACGCCTACTGCACTGGTAACATATATATATATATATATATATATATATATATATATATATATATATATAGCACAAATTTGCTTAGCCTATATCAAATTGTCTGTAAAATCTCGATAAATGAGTAGTAGTGAAATCAGCTCAACTCGCTTTGGTAATAACTTTAAATCAAAGGAACCCTTTAAATGTATGTGGTCTACACAATGGTGGATTCCTCACCGAGTACATCTTAGCGGAACACGTACAGAATAGTATCTGTTGTCAAGTTCTTGGAATCAAGATGTCTGTTAGCAACATGCATAATAATACAGATGACATCTATGAACGACTTCATGTAATGAATACCCTTAGTCTACCGAGCAGTAAGTACATTCTTTGAGTTCATTGTAGTTGTAAGTCACATGGACAGTGTCTAACCAACCAACCAACCCTCATCCACAACTTCTTCAAATCTTTTGGAAACTTGAGTATATTTCAGTACCTGTTTTAATGATCTTCATTCATTGACCAACACTCAGTTGATATGAAAGATAGATTACGGAAGATATGACAAATGATTGGGATCCACTTTACCAGTTAATGGAAATCATTTGATAACTGTACTAATTTCAGTAATAATAATAATTCACGAATAATACCCATCCAGGCATTAGTGAAAACAAAACACATAGTTCAGCGAAGAGTCTCTGTTCGGCGGGAGCGAATTCATTTTCTTAGCTGTACAATCGCAAATACATATATGTGTACATTTAGTTTGTCAAACAAAAACCTACAATTGGTTATGATTATTTTAACTAAACAGGTGAAAATTAGTAAGTTTTGCGCAGAGTTACGTAGTACAAAAAAAAACGGTGAAGAAAATTGGGTGTTAATAAAAATGCATCTATAGTCCCGATGTTCTAGAAACAGAATTAGATCTTTTAAGAGAAATCTTTATGCAAAATGGATAACCACCAAGATTTATTGACGTAAAAAAAATTAAACCAAGAATTTGGAGGAATGAAACTTCACTTGCTTCGAAAAAGAAACTCTGCATGAACTTGGATTTCACAGGAGATTTAACAAGCGATATTCTCAAGAGAAGGATCACATCATCTCTGAGAAGAACATTCTTTGCAGCAACGCTAAGAATAGTGTTCTCCAGTCGCCCACTGATCTGCAAAAGCCTTAAGGACAAGATCTCGCATCTGACCACTTTTGTGAGCATATATCAGTTCACCTTCTCCTGTGGAGCCAGCCAGATACATCGGTCGTTCGACGCACATCCTGTTCAAGAGGCATGGTTGCGAAAAAGCAATAATGGTGTTTTAAGGAGTGCGATAATTCAACACCTGGTTAACACTGATCATTCCATCTCAACAAACGACTCCTGTTTCAAAGTAATCTACAGAGTCGAGAATAACCTACCAAAGACAATGCACTTTCGTCTTCTTTGTATCTCTGAAGCTCTAGCCATTCACATAGAAAAACCAGGACTGTACATGCAGAAGAGAATTACTCAACCACTTCTCCCATCATGGTAACAACTTTGTTGATTTTTGATCACTTTGTTTGTTTGCTTGTTTCTTCAATTTCTTATAATTCTTGTATTCATTTAGAACTCTTATGTAACTTCGTATTCTTTACTTTGTTTTTATATGTTTATCTTGAGTACAACTCAATCATCAAACTATTCATGTCATTACGCAACTCCTCTTTAACAACTGTTTGTGACAACTCATCACCTTTGTTACTAAACTAGTTTCATCAACACCCAATTTTCTTGACCACTTTTGTATTACGTAACTCTACCTAAAACCTACTAATTTTCACCTGTTTAGTCAAAATAATCATAACCAATTGTAGCTTTTTGTTTGACAAACTTAATGTACACATGTATATAAAATGACTCATATATCTATTTGCGATTGTACAGCTAAGAAAAGGAATTCGCTGCCGCCGAAAAGAGACTCTTCACCGAACCACGTTTTTTGTTTTCAATAATTATAATAACACAGCTTTATTCTAAACAATATATTAAAACAGAGTACAGAATTTTCCGCCTAATTAAATTACAATACATCTACTTGTCGCACAGGATCTCCAAATAAAACGGTACTCGGAAGCACAGCTTGTGACGCTGTATTCTTCCATGTCAAACAATATCCAAATCTATTGAATTGAATTTTTGATTTTCCCGTCGATTGATTGGACCGAAGTGTTCGGTCTCAGGTTGACATGTCGGCTTCTTGTGCAGATGCTTCGACGATGTCTGGGGATTTGATTTGTATACAATTGGTGGATGGTGGCTAGCAGTGGAATCCAGGATGCGCATTTCGTCCTAATTGGGACTCGTCAGCTGGATGTACCTGCATTTCTCAGTGAGTGATGGCGTTTGAAACTATGGGCACTGGGTTTGAGCCTCGGTGGGGACATCATCACTCACTGAGAAATGCAGGTACATCCAGCTGACGAGTCCCAATTAGGACGAAATGCGCATCCTAGATTCCACTGCTAGCCACCATCCACCAATTGTATACAAATATCCAAATCTCTACGAAATTCCCCTCCCTCATTTATGTTAAGAAGTGCTCTGCATTATGTCGACAGCAAGCTAAAACTGTGTGTGAGTTCGAACTGTGCGGTCCGAAACACACATCCACAGTTAAATGATTAAAACAATAAGAAGAAATGGAGAAGAGTTTATACAGCGGTAATATACTGCATGGAAATTTACGTACCTCAGTGATTTAAGAAGGCCACTTGTCCACTTACCATTGGACTTTTCACTACAATTGGTTTACTCCTTCTATTTTCAACAGTTTTTATCAAGTTGATCAATTCAGTCTTCAACAAATCCTCTTTTGCATTGATCAGTTGACTCTGACGATCCAATTCAGAATAAACAGCATCTCGTGTAGTCACTGCTTTTTTATAAAGTCTTTTAAGTTCTGCCAATTTTGTATAGTTTGCTTGAATTTCAAGCTCTAATTTATCCACGCTATGAAAGTAGGTGGGTGCTTCCTAAAAAAGGAAAAAAAAAGAATTTTATTGTATGTGGTGAGAGCTGGCTGCTAGCCAAAGTTGGTAGACAGTAATTTACGTCAATTTTTATGTCCCCAATATTGGTCGTGAGAAAAATGACAACAAAGGCTTTGCATAGGCGGATACAGTTAACATATAGATGATCTGACATTCAAGAAACAGACACAAAGAGATGCAAGGTTAACTTTCTGTGAGAAACAACCAATCAGAAGACTGGATTTTTCTGCTGACAATAATCTATAATAATGTACATGCAAATCTATAAATACGTGTTGATTTCCTTGATAAACGATCTGTTGCCTGGCCATTGTCTTCTTCTGTTACAAGTACACTTTAGGTGAATGTATGGAAGACGGAGGTGACGAAGATATTGATAATCAACCAGCACCAACAACGACAAGCACCGATCACTATCAACGGAAGAAATTTGAAAGAGATTACTTCCTTCACTTATCTAATTCTATGCAGAATCGTTTCATCTACAGGTGGTGGCAAGAATGAAGATGTTAAGGCGCTGACCAGTCAGAATCGGAAAGGCAAGACAGAAATTCGCCACTCTGAAATCACTTCAGAAATCCCCTGTACTAATCCAGCATAAATAAGAAAATTTGGGTTTTCAACTCAAAAGTCAATCACTTCTTCCATAAAAGTCAGGAAGTTGACGAACGTATCGCCAAAAGTGTTTCCAACAGACTTTGAACTTTGATCATCAACTACCTTTGCCAGCCCCATACTCAGGATAAGACGTTGATATAAGTATAAAACTTGGACACTGTGGTAGAGCATAACTCCATTATGGATAAGAGTTTATTTTGATAAATCACACAGTGTTATACAGTAATATTAACTGATGACCACGTTTCGAGCACAAATTATTACCGCTCATAATCATATCAAGGCACCACTCACACAACTTTTTCCTTCATTTATATACATGTGTGGAATTGATGATTAGATATTGGAATAAAAATCAATATAGGCTAATGCACATTCAGAAATAATAATACGAGTGTTATTGATCAATTACAATCAGATGGGAAATAAGACGAGTGTTTTTATAGTCATATTAAGTAACTTGTCAACATGTTGTGATGTGCTTGAATTGAAACAGAATTTTAAGATTATTTATTGTCCTCTTCTGATTTGACTGACTGGTGGTAATAATATCTTCCATATTTCTGGTATTTGCATTGAGTCATTTCTGTTGCATTTGTTGAGTGCAAACTCGATGAACCAGGATTCAGTAATCAACCTCTCTCTCCACCTACCAATATTACTTCTTAGAATTTTAACCCTCACCCACCCACCCTATTGTATGGTTGTGTGTTAATGCATGCAGTGCAATCACTGAGTTTTTTTCTAAATTACTTATCTTCTCTGCGTCAACCATTCTTACCGTAGCTAAATTCTTATGTTCTGTTAATCTCACTAGTCCTGATCTACTAGTTCTACCTATGTAGTTGACCTGGCTCACAGTCATTGCAAGGTATTTTGTAAATTATATTATTTTGTTTAACTGGTTCCGCCGAGTCTTTTAGCCCACAGAGCTTGTCTCTGAGTGAGTTTGTAGGCTTTAATGTCACCCTTATTCCTGCTTTATTAAGAATCCTACGTAGGGTTATCAGTTAATACTACTGTACAACACTGTGAGATTTATCAAAATAAAATAATATCCATAATAGAGTCAGGATCAGACGGCTGGCCAGAAGGAACTCAAAATAAGAAACTCTGGGAACCAACCATAAGGAACCCAACAAATATTCAGGGGAATGTGGAGATGGGTCGGATACATAATGAGGAGATCGTAGGATGACATCGCGCAACAGACCATCACTCCAGTGGAACCCCAATGGGAAAGGAGAAATTGGGCGTTGGTCGGAAAGTGATATGGAGGAGATCGTGTAAGAAAGAGATGACAGGCTATGGAAAATTGTATGGCCAGCTAAACAGGACCTCAGTAAACAAGATAAAGTGGACATGTTTTGTTGAGGCCCTATATTCCATTCAGAATTCAAGGGAATAATAATAACTGATGTCAGCTCATGATGAAATTCTCCATGCAATCAAACAAACAAAATCCCTACAAAACCAATACTTGAAAATTGACCTGATGCTCACCAGCAACTGACCCTATTCAGGCAGTTAACCTGGGGTTCTAGTGGAAAGCCGAGACCAGCAGGGTAAAGCAGGTCGAAGATGAAGCAGCAACTCATTGAAGAAGACATTGTGAAGTGGTTGCGCTGTGTCATGAATTGGCAGAAGTTAGAATTCATGTACTGGCCATTGGTTCGGGTCCCAGTGGCTCAATGGTCTACGAGCTAGCTCGCCTTGTAACCAGAAGGTCCTGGGATCAAACCAAGTTAAGGTGGGTGCGTACTGATGAAGAGTCCCGAGCGCTAGGACGAAACAGCTAGCTGTCCAGTACCCTCAGCTAGTTTTCCAATGGTTCTCTAACCGATGTCAGCTCATGATGAGATTCTCCATGCAATCAAACAAAATCCCTAGAAAACCAGTACTTGAAAATAATAATAATAATAATGTATTACTTTCGCCCTCTAAACCTTTATTTAAATGACACTGACACTCTTCGTTACATATATTACTTATATTGTTTGATTTATCACAAGTTCTAAACACAAGATAATTGACTTGCTTTTTGAAAACTCTTTGAATTAGTCCAGAAACTATTTCACTCATGTTTGTAAACAAGTCGACATAATAGTTCGTATCTGCAGCTATCATGCAACTTCGATTCCCGTAGCGAATTATTTGAAAATTTTCCAAAGATGACTTTTAAAAACAAATAACAATAATAGCAGCAGCATAACCTCACCTGGATTAATTTATTTCTAATTTCAGCATATGTATCACCAATAGTTTGTATTTCTTCATGCTTCATCGATACTTTTTCAATTTTATTTTCAATTATTCTTATCACTTGAGCAAGTGATTTATTACCATGTCGAAGTTCATGATTCATGTGAATTTCTCCATCTTGCAGTAATTTCAATTCATTTTCTACATTTTTAAGTTTTTCAGCTTTATATCTGAATATGATAGATAAAAGATGAAGTAAGTATATGAGAGGATTTAAAATATTATTTTCAATCAGCTCTGATGAATGTCGTAATAATGAAGAGCTTAATATTATTATTATTAAACATTTGCTGGGTGAGAACGTTTACCCAGAGAAATTTATCAATAAGAATATGAATACTAAAAGTCAAGGCAGGTCAAATTGCCGACAGTTTCGAAAAAGGCTTTATTCTTTTAACTTCAGTTCGTTGGGGATAACATCAGTGAGATATTAGCACAGAGCCTAAGGAATAAAGTGATAAAAAGAGTATTCAGTGCTGCTGAATTATGCTGTATCTCCAATACCACCACTATTTCGCTCTCTGGAGTTAAAGATTGTTGTTTGTTTGTTGCTCCCTTGAGTTACTAGTGGAACATAGAGCTTCAACTGCACGTCTTCACTTGCTTCTGTCTTCCTTCTGCTGTACTTTTCACCTGCATCCATATTACTCCATACTGTTTCAACTCCTCTTCACACGATCTCCTCCATGTCACCCTTGCACCGACGACCCACTCGCCGCTTCCCTTTCGGCTTGGTTTCACTCGAGCAATGGCCTGACGCGCGCGCGACGTCACCCAGCGGCCTCCTCAGACAGTATCCAATCCATCTCCACTTTCTCCTGCATATTTGTTGGTTGGCTATTGGTTTGTTCTTGTTTTGTTAGTTCCCATAGTTCCTTGTTGGTGATTCTTTCCGGCCCCCCGGCCATCTGATCTTCAGTATAGAGCCAGCGAAGACAGTTGTTGGTTGATAAAGGTCTGGAACAAGCTGTTGGAAATATTCTTTGTGACCCACCCGCCAAGTTTCCGTCTGATCCGTATAGAAGAACTGACTGACTTGACGTTTGTACTGAAAATCCGAATTTTGTTGTTTTTGCTGGCTGAGTTAGAGCAGAAGATTTACAAACTGGTTTCAGGTTGATGAATGTGTTTCTCGCCTTCCCGATTCTCGCTCGATTTGACATCCTCGTCCGTTCCGACTGCCTGTAGTCGAAACAATGCTCCCTAGATAAGTGAATGAAGTCACCTCTTTAAAATCCCTCCCGTTGATGGTGATTGGCTCTGGATGTTGCTGCTGTTGTTGTTGTTGTTGGTTGGTTATTTTCATAACCTCCGTCTTGTCTATGTTCACCTGGAGTCCTGCCCTCGCTGGCTGCTTCTTCGACCAGTTTTTGAGTTTTCGCTTGTAAGTCTTCGATTTTGTGACAGTGACATGAAACATAAATCATCCACGCGCGAAATCCAGGTCTTCTGGGTTCTTCACGTCGGTCCAGGATATTTCTGTCTTCTCGTTTCCCACTGTCTGACGCATAATCCAGTCAGTCCACCACAATTAGGAATATCATCGCCGGTGATAGTAAGCACCCTTGTCTGACTCCTGTGTTTACTCCAAACGCCTCGCTGAGTTTTCCGTTGTAGATCACTTGACATGTGCCGTTGTCGTACAGCTGTTGAATAAGGTTGATGAATATTTGGGCACCATACGACGTAGTACTCGAGTAGTTTCCAAATTACTTCACGGCCAACGCTGTCTGCCGAAGGCCTTCTCGAAGTCTATGAAGTCGAGGTAGAGTTAGGTTTGATTGCTATTCCATGCTTTGTTCTGTGCTGATGATGCGTAGAGTTTCAATTTGGTCAGAACATGATATACCTGACGTTCCTGAATCCAGCTTGTTCTGGTCGGAGTTCTGTCTCCAGTGCGTCCTTCAATCTCTCCAGGATGATGTGACTCAGGATTTTACTTGGCGTCGACAGCAGCATGATTCCTCGCCAGTTCTTGCAGAGTGAGGTATAAGTCGCCCTTCTTTGGTAGTTTCACGAGGTAACTAACTAATTTAGCCTCTTCTATGTGTATCTACCAATCTGACTGCTCCTGTGGAGCCAGTTACATAGGCTGTACAATTAGGCGTGTTTATCGTCGGATTTCCGAACGCCATCCTGCATAGTGGTTGGTTAGGTGAGGGACAAACGAAATCTATTCATACCTCTATTCTATCTCATCTCGTGGATATAGAACACAAGATTCATGTTAACGAGGCAGCTTTCAAAGTCATCTATGGCATACCAACTAGTCTTAACTTTACCTTCTTAAGAGTTCGTTTACTAAATATTGCTGAGGCTGGCTGTTGGGATCTACATTAAGAAGCCTAATTTATGTATCCAAAAGAAGAAGTTGGTTCAGACGTTATCCTTACCTTGACCATTTAGGTTTGAATGATCCTCATTTTGTTGTGGAAATTTCTTTAATTTTACTTGATATTCTATTTACTTTTTTACTATAGTTTGGTTTCTAAGGGTTAGTTATATTTTTATGAGTTGATCACGTGGTAGAAGTTAGAATTCACGAGCCATTGAATCGGGTTCCAGTGGCTGAATGGTATACGAGCTTGCCTTGTAACCGGAAGGTCCTGGGTTCGAATCCCAGTGGGTGCGTACTGCCGATGATTCCCAAACTAGGATGAAACAGCAGCTGTCCAGTACTCCCTGGTTTTCAATGGTTCTCTAACTGATATCAATCCGTGATCAATTCTATTTACTATTACATTTTTATACTTACTATCATTTATGCATTCTTCGCGAACTGTAATTACATTGTTCTTACTTCACAAATCGACACTATTTAAAAAAACACTAATATTGTTATTGACTACTAATCTAGAATATTCTGTGTATATAAACATATATATAAATGTTGAGCTAGGAGAGGAAATTATCGAAAAGGATATTCTTTGCTCAATATTTTTTTTGGTCAGTTTTTCATCATAAACTAACAAAAGTTGGAGAGATCACTGATAACTAGCCAGGAGCACTGAACACCCCCTTTCGTCCTGTTCTAGGATTTTTTTCAGTAGTATGCAACCTGACCTTAAATTGTCTTGGGAAATTGTCTCGTATAGGATTCTTGTAGACAGAGTTTTGATCCCACCTTTTGTGGAAATATTCTTCTTGATTAGCAAGGGTACTTCTTACAGTTAATTTTTGATTAATTAATTTTGTTATACACTACGTGTTTTTGTGCTTAGAAAATCATCTTGCCTGTATAGCTGCTACCTAATGGGATTGTTGAAGTAACCTCCGGTTTTCGATATTATTCATTATAATAAAGGTTTCTTGTATTTTCCAATGAATGAAAAGCAAAACGACATTGTTTTTACTGATGTTTCGCTATTTAGTGCTGCTAGTAGCTTTATCAAAGTATTATTGAAGCAGAATTTACAATATGTGTTGATATGTATCCACATATATATTTTATATGTGTGTGTATGTTGGTCTCTCTTTCTGTTTGCTCGCTTAGTCTGTGACCATTTGACTTGTATGAACTTGTCTCCTTTAACAATGTATATTCTCCTTATATTATATTATATATAAAATGAGTGTTTGTTGACAGTCCGTTGCTTGGTGACATATATCCATATTATATGTTGGTTGTTGACATGTCTGTTATATTTCGCTATGTATATATGGATCGATACTTCACTATAATTAGCCATTCATGTTAAGATTATCTAGTGATTTGTTCACACCCTTGTCTGAATATTCATATATATTTCGCATACACAATTTGTGTGAACTACTTTAGTTACTTATCACTTTGGTGTGAGACCATTTATTTTCGTCTCCTTGTGTTTGGACAATAGAAGTATCATCGCAAACCTAGTGGTCTTCTGATTTCCGCCTTCTTGCGTCAGGACAATTAGTTTCTCGACCAGTCCATAACAATAATTTAGCGACGAGTACATAACAATTTGGCGACGGGGAAAACTAGTACATAACATATATATATAACAACTTAATCATCGTTCATCAGCATGGGGTCATTTTCCGTTGTCAAGTTGGTCAATTGGTAAAGATAACAAAACCAGGTGTAGATTGTTGGATTTGATAAGTGTATAAGATTGCAAAACAGCATGTGTTTGTATAATGATATTGCTTATCTTATTCGTCTCGATTTTGTTACTTCGTGGGGAATGGGGGTGTTGTAACCACGTCGAATTCTGTTTTAGTGCATCATTCCCATTCAGAAAATTTGGATTCCATTTGATATGAAGTGTTTCTGATGATGATATTAGACATTGTTTGTGATTTCTGAAATGCTTTTTCTGGATTATTTCAATATTCTCAAAATTAATTTTGTGGCCTGATTCTATAGCGTTAAGACGACGTATGGCTGGTGATTTTTTCAAACTTTTCTAGTTCACTAACTGGATTTCTCGGTGGTCGAACAGAGTGTTAATTTCTTCTGATTTTGATTTCTCGCGATGTTTGTTTGATGTATATCGCCTTACATTCCAAGCATTTTATTTTATAGACACAATTAGATAGAGAATCTTTGGTGTTTTATATGGACAAGTTTGTTTCGTAGTTTGTCTGATGTTTTGAAGAAAACTCTAATGTTTTGATACCATAACAGACGTACAATTACCTTTGTTATTTGGTTTAGTGATCTTCATTGTTAATTTGACTTTCAATATGTCACCCTTTAACTTGACCTATGTCTACTTTCTCACCTCTTAACTCTTTGTTATATGTAAAATGAGATTTTGTAAATTCCGGTTTAATAATACTTTGATAAAGCTATTAGCATTAAGTAGCGAAGCGTCAGTAAAAACAACAATATCGTTTTGTTTTTCATTCATTTGGAAATACAAAAACCTTTATTATAATGAATATCGTATACCCAATGCTCAAATTTTTCAAACTGTTAAAAGTGAACTTGGTTTGGACATATATTTCGATGCTATGATTTTTTTCTCTTTTTGATTACAGCTTGATTCCACACTGTATTTTTGGTACAGGTATGGAATTTTCAGCATGTGATATCGGTAGCCCAAATTTTGCAGACCGACCATTGATATCAGCAGAGGATCGAACTCCGGACCATGTGCATGATCGGCGAGAGTCCTAACCAGTGTTCCACCGACGTTGTTGAATAGAACCGCACTGATCTATCGATGAATAATTGCCATTTTGCTATCTTTGGAGCATTTCACAACTGTACGTGTATCAATGGAGTTTTGGTCAGCTATATATTAGGAAACAGAGATCGGTTTTCTGCTTTCAGACCACCAAGCAGTCAATTTTAGTCATAACAGCAATGAAGAATTATATAGAATTATTATCATTTATATTACCTGAAATCTAGCAACCACACACGTTAATTACCTTGACTGATATTTTAAAAGGTTCAGCTTCTTCACTGTACAAAGTACACGATCATCCAATGCTTCCACAGCATCCTAAAAATATTTAGGAACAAAGAGATTTTGTTGAATTGTGTAATTTCTTCTCTACCACCGACGCACTCTCTGTCTAAAAAGTTTCACAACCTCGTTCTTTTCCAGTACAAAAAGAAATTTAGTATGGACTCTCAACCACAGGGTTAGAGTTATATTGCTCAAAAGAGGCAACTGAAGATGAACTAAGAATTGTATTTGATACCTTGATTGAAAATAGCTATCCAGACATATTCATCAGGAAACATATGACTAAGAAAGTTGAAAAGGATTATTCACTATCCGTAAACAAGAAGCCTTTATGTATATGATTGCAATTCAAGGGCTATATATCAAGTGAGATAATTACGAAGAAGTTAAGAAAATTAGTTCAAAGAACTTTTAATGCTGGTAAACTACAAGTCATATTTTCTACACGACCGAGGGTGACTCCCCAATTGAAAGATGAAGTACCTAAACTAGCTACTTCTGACTGTATCTACCAATTCAACTGCGCTTATGGAGTGAGTTATATTGGCCGTTGCTGTAGGAACTTGATTTTTAGTGCTCACTCGGGAAAATCTACCAGTGTGGTTAAATAAAGGTGTAGTAAAAACCATCAGTAGCTCAGTAATAGACCATCTGGTCCAAATCTGCCACAAAGCCAATACTAAAGAATCCTTCTCCATCATCTATCAGGTACCAAACAAAGCACCAGAAACATCCAGGTATCGCATACTTAGAACAGTAGAGTATATCGTGATTCGCCTTAAACAACCGACTCTCTGTGTGCAGAAGAAGCAAGCCTAGCCACTAATATTGCCTTGGCCTTCACTAGAGACTATAAATTCATGAATTTGTATTATTATCAGGAATTGGCAAAAGTTGGAATTTATGACCCATTTCATTGAGTCCCAGTGGCTTAATGGTCTACGAGCTAGCTCGCCTTGTAATCAGAAGGTCCTGGGTTCGAATCCCGGTGGGTGCGTACTATTGAAGAGTCCCAAAACAGGCTGACGAAAACAGCTCTCCAATACTCCCAGGTTTTCCAATGGTTCTCTAAACAGTTCATGATGAAATCCTGTAAAGTCTTCAATTACTCAGTTATTATTATTATGTCCCTGGGTAAAAAAGTGTAATCCTGCACCTTTGTTAATTGACTTTCAGTCAAATATTGTGCTGGTTAGGGGGAGGCAAAGAAAAATATATAATAATTGATTGGCTTGCGTTTCAGATCAGACAGAAATGAGCCAAGCGGTGTACTGTCAATTATTATTTCACTTGAAGGTCCTGGACAAAAAGAAACTACTATGAAATGAATTCTGCTGAAAACTCTGCATATTATATATAAACGCTGTTCAGAATATTATTATTATTATTATTATTATTATCATTATTATCGATTCACTTCATCAATAGACGTGTTGTTTCATCTTACTGGCGAATTGTAGCGCATTTTTAAATGTTTCAATGTAAAATTACAGATCTGTCCTACCCGATTAGAAGGTTGAAGGTATGACAGCTTAGACTGACAGGTAGTAATGTTTGATTGCAGAAGCTGTGATGCAAAGACTCGAAAACATAATCCTAACAAAGATTAAACCCAAATTTGAATACGTTATGTAGATGACACATTTGTAATAATTAAAAGAAACGAGTTGGACAAAACTCACAACTTAACAAACAGCCTTTTCAACGATATCAGAAATTCAAAAGAGAAGAGGAAACCGATAACAAAATCTCATTTTGAACGTCTTAGTCAGACGATGAATCACAGGAATACTAGAAAGTTAAGTTTATGGAAAATTAACTCACACAGATCAAATACTCAATTAAAACAGCGACAATCCAATAACACACACAAAAGGAATTGTATACAAACACTATTCAAGAGAGCCAGGACTCATTGCAGCACTCCCATATTAAAGAAAATTGAAGAAAGATATCTCATGGAGGTCTTCCAAAAAAATGGATATGCACGGAATTTCATCGAAAGACATCTACCCCCAAGTCAACTTATCAAACTAAAGGTCCCCAGGAGAGTACAAAGTAAATCACCCTACCATAATATATAAAGGACACCTCAGAAATCAGTTCAAGACTCTTCAAACCTTTAGGAATTGATGTCGCACACAAACCAACAACAGCGGAAGAAGATAAAACCAACATCAGCTACAAAAATACAGTTGCATCGACTGCGAAAAACACTACATTGGTCAAAGTGGACGTTCCCTTCGACTTTGTATCCATGATCATAAACTAGCTGTCAAAAGACATCATGACATCCACTCCCTCATATCACCGCATACAGACAACCACGGATATCAAATCGACTGGGACAACCAGCGTTCAAATATTAGACAAAGGAAACACCAATAATGCTAGAGAATATTCAGTTTTGAAGAGTTGGTTTGTGAGGATTAGATTTTTTTTCACGAGTTTAACTACGGATTGATATCAGTTAGCGAAACATTGAAAACCAGCCAAAAAAAGTACTGAACAGCTGTTCCATCCTACGCCCCACCACCACTGTTCGAACCCAGAACCTTCTGGTTACAAGGCAGGCTAGCTCGTTGACCATTCAGCCCTTGGGAACCAGCCGATTCAATGGCCATTCCATGAATTCTAACTTCTATCAATTCGTGATTTAGTGCGACCATGTCATCATGCCAATATCATCGGTGGGAAATCCATGCTCATGGGCCATTGAATTGGGTTCCATTGGCTGAATGGTATACGAGCTAGCCTGCCTTGTAACCAGGTCTTGGTTTCGAACCCTATGGTGTGGGTGCGTACTCCTGATGATTCCCAAACTAGGAATCGTCAATTAATAGACACATCGAAATAAACAAAATTTATCAACTGATAAGAAAGAAACCTCACACATAAAGGGTCAAACTTCAAGTCAGGGAAAAAATCAACACCAATGCTAATACAAGTAGCCTAGAGGGTGTGAAAGTGTGCGTCGGTGGCATAGCGGTTAGGACGCTCGCTGACCATGCAAATGGTCTGGGGTTCGATCCTCGGCCGACGCACTCCTTTACCTCGCTTAGCCAGAAATAATGCTCGTGAAGAGGCGAGGTTGGGCATGAGGCTAGCAACCCCATCCTGTAAAAATGAACACCACTGCTACAGAAACTTCAAGCCACTAGCTTGAGGCCCTGTGTTTTACTGAGAACGTGAAGGAAAAAAAACGGTGTGAAAACACACAAAAACAACCAGTCACGTTCAAGGTCAAGTTACCAGGAGAGATGAATAATAAACTCGTGGCGAAATCTAAAGACTCACTTCAAACTTAAGTATGCTCTGAAGATGTTGTCTAGTAGGGAATTGGAAGCTTCGCAAATGAACTACCCAAGAGAACTACTTCAAAGTCATCCACCTGAGCTACAAATCTTCTCCATTATATCCATAATAACGTTTGTGTCTGTGTGTTTGATGGGAGTGATCAAACCAAATGTGTGTGTGTGTATGTGTGTTTAATTTCAAACTATGATTAAACAATATAAGTAGTATCTCCTATGCCACCATGTCTCTTCAAATATAGAAGTGAAGCAGTTGTTGAATTTTTCTATAGCGCTGCCACCTCTCTACAATGATATCGTAAGCAGAAAGTTTAGAGAGTTGTCAGATCTTGTTGACTCTGATTACTTCACGAGTATTTATTACCACTGAATCGACCTCAGATTAATTAATCTCTGTAGCATGGAGAATCACTCAGCGAAAACATTTATGAGAATCATATCACCGAGTTGTTAAGACTTCCAGTGCCAGGACAAATCCCCATGTGTTGTGAACAGCGAAATTGTAGGAAATATTAACCCAAGGAGATTAACCTCCCCCCCCTAATTGCTTGCTCATTTATGAAGAAAGTCTCCAAGGCTAACTTCATTAAATAGGTGTATGGTAGAGAAAAAAAATTAGCAAAGCGCTCAAATAAAAAGAGATATGCATATATGTATGCGAATAACTTACGTTTAAGGTCAACTTTTTGTTTGGTGGTATTTCTAAGCTTTTGTTCTGAAATATTTCATTCACAAGAAATCCATCGTGCTAAATAAAGATATTTTATAAAGTATTTAGAAAAAAAAATACATAATCAATATTTGTGTTGTTTAGTGAAGTAGCAATATATTCCAATTTGAAATAGCTGTCTACTTGAGACGTTATATTTTTGTAAAGAAGTTACTTTTATGCTTTTAAAATTTTCTATATTGATTGAAGCATTTCATCATGAGCTGGTATCCGGTAGAGAACCATTGGAAAACCAACTGGGAGTACTGGAAGGCTACTGTTTCATCCTAGTTTGGGGCTCTTCAGCAGCACTTATACACCCTAATTGGGTTCGAACCCACGACCTTCTGGTTACAGGGTGAGCTAGCTCGTAGGCCATTAAACCACTGGGACCTGATTCAATGGTCAGTCCATGAATTCTAACTTCTGTCAGCCAATTCATGACATAACGCGACCACTTCAGATTGTCTTCTTTGATGAAATATTGCCTCACCTTCAACCTACTGTGCCCTACTAGTCACGGCTTCCCACTAGAACCCCAGGTTAACTGCCTGAATACGGCCAGTCGCTAGTTAGTGAGCATCAGATTAATTTTCAAGTATTGGTTTTGTAGGGATTTGATTGATTGGCCACAGGATTTCATTATGACCTGACATTAGTTAGAGGACTGCTAGAAAATCATCAGGGAGTACTGGAAAGTTGTTTCGCCTCCTAGTTTGGGACTCTTCAGAAGTACACACCCAGGACCCCGCTGGTATGTATTGAGCCGATGACCTTCAGATTATGAGGTTAAGCTCGTTGACTATTCCACCATTTAGACTGGAATCTAATGGCCTATGAATTCTAACATCTGACTGTTCGCATTCCTTTTTCATTATGCATTTTGAAAGTATACTTAAGATGCTTAGTCCTGAGTGAGAGGTGATTATTGAAGTGTTAGAAAGTTCAGACGTATTAAGCTGAAAGTATGATCAATAATTGTAGTTAGTCCTCGGTGTTAGTGCTAATATCTCATGCGATGAATCATTTCGAAAATAAAATGTAGTTCCACCTAGATTACAAGAGATTACCATGTCTACTTGATAAATGTGTAAAACTTCAGTATTATGGTAGTATGTGATTCCACATATTACACAGTGAATAGTACCAAGGAAAATTTAAGACAGGAAGCGAAGCATATAAGAGAAGCTTTGAAACTTAATAATTACCCTGATAGATTAGTCAGGAAGTATTTAGGAAAGTGTAAAAATAAAATTAATAATAATAATGACATACATGACAAAATGCACAGAATGATGACAACACCAGCAATAGGGAATATAAATCATCAGTAGTAATTCCATACAAAGAAGGAACCTCAGAAGCCTTACATGGAATACTTAACAAGGTAGGAATAAAAGTGGCATTCACACCCACTAATTAACGTGCAAACTTTGTCAGTTAGAGGATCCTGTAGAGCCAATTAAACAAAACAATTTGGTTTATCTGATACCTTGCTGTTGCAATGTTTGTCAGGTCAAATACATAGGGCAAAGTAGTAGAACGGGGTAAGTCAGACAAGTGGAGCACAAAAACCCAGCAAAATGTAGATTGGTTGACCCAAATAAGATAAGAAATCTAGGGAATAGTTCAGCTCTATAGCACTCACTACATGCAATTACACACAACCATACAATAGAATGGGATAAGATGACAGTTTTAAAATCTAAAGTCGTAGGGTGGAGTGAGAGATTGATAACAGAAGCTCTGTTTATCGAATCAACTGCAAATACGTGTAATAGGAATGATTCGACGCCTGTCCCAGACGGATATCTGGAAAATTCTACTACCCCAACGACGACAAATAGGAGAGGACAAAGAAAACTATAAAACGGATATTTCGAAGTCGTGTGATTATAACTGACAGTATGATTATGAACAAAAAACTGTGTTCGAAACTTTATCATTCAGTAAATAATAGTGCTTCACTATATGTGATGTATCGACTAGCTCGCCTTGTAACCAGAAGATCATGGGTTTGAACCCATTTAGGGTGGGTGCGTACTGATGAATAGTCCAAAACTAGTACGAAACAGATGCTCTGTACTCCCAGGAAGGTCTTCCAATGGTTCTCTAACTGATATCAGCTCATGATGAAATCCTCCAACGAATCAAACCAGATTCCTACAAAACCAATAATTCAGAATATATTCAATAAACAAATTAATATAGAACTTTTTAATAGTTGGTCTTAAAGGACTAGATTTGTTTCTAAGCGTTTGATCACAGATTGATATCAGTTAGAGAACCATCGAAAACCAGACACAGGGAATACTGGACAGCTGACTATGATTCCCAAACTAGGATGAAACAGCTGTCCAGTACTCCAGTGCAGATATTCAGTGGTTCTCTAACTGATGTCAATCCGTGATCAACTCGTAATACAGAACTGTCTTCTCTACTATTTATTCATACTGAAAATTAAAAACTATGTACGAGATTGGCAAAGCTGACCAGATCACAAACGAGATGAAAAGATATGGAATTCAGGTACTGGGAATATGTGAAAGCAGATGGAATGGGAGTGGACTGACCAAATTGTCAACGGGTGAGTCAGTGATCTACTCCGGTCACCCAGAAGATAACCACACACACACCGAGGGCGTGGCTATCATGATGTCACCAACGGCGAAGAAAGCCCTGATGCAATGGGAGGCGATTTCGTCCAGGATAATGACCGCCAGATTCAACTCCAAAGGAAGGAAAGTGTCAATCATACAATGTTATGCACCCACAAACAACGCAGACCTCGAGAAGAAAGAAGAATTCTACAGACAACTACAGGCAACAATGGACAATACTCCAGCTGGTGACATTAAAATACTAATGGGAGACATGAACGCCAAGCTGGGAACAGACAACACAGGAAGAAAACTCATCATGGGTAGAGAAGCTCTCGGAGAAATGAATGAAAACGGAGAACTCTTCGCCGACTTCTGCGCCTTCAACGAACTAGTGATTGGTGGCAGTGTATACAAGCACAAAGATATCCACAAGGCTACATGGGTGTCACCAGACGGGCAAACCGAAAACCAAATTGACTTCATCTCAATCTCAAGGGAGTGGAGGCGCAGCCTACTGGACACAAAAGCAAGAAGAGCAGCAGACGTTGGCTCAGACCACTGTCTCGTACAAGGGACAATCCAAATCAAATTAAAAGCTTTCAGGAAAACAGGAGCTGCAGATAGACCACAAGCCAAGTTCAACACTCAAAAACTGAAGGATCAGGCTACAAAGAACATCTTCATTGCAAGCATAAAGGACAAAGCCAAGACACAAATCAACACTAGCGAGGAGGTCGGCGTTGAAAACCAATGTGACAACTTGAAAACGGTGTGGAGTCAAACCTGTATGGAAGTTCTAGGCAGGAAGAAGAGGCAGGACAAACAGTGGCTCACTATGGACACTTGGAAACTAATAGAAGAGAGAAGGATAGTGAAACAAAAGATTATCCAGTGCACTGACGAGCAACAAAAACAGGAGCTGAATGCAAGCTACAATACACTGAACAAAAGAGTGAAGAAGAGTGCCAGAGAAGACAAAAGAAAATATTATGAAACCACGGGAAGTGAAGCAGAACAAGCTGTAGGCAAAGAAGACCTCCCCACACTCTACCAAACAACTAGGTACCTATCGGGAAAAAATTCGACACAGATTAGGCCAGTCAAGGATGACAATGAAAAGTCAATCACCAAAGAGGTGGAACAAAGAAAACACTGGGTTGAACACTTCAAAAGACTTCTAAATCGTCCGCCACCTACAACGCGCCCAACAATACCAACAACGGAAGCAGAACTACCAGTGAACATCGACCCCCCGACGAAATCAGAAGTCCTGAATGCAATCAAGATGCTAAAAGCTGGAAGAGCAGCAGGATCAGATGGAATCCCAACAGAAGCATTAAAAATGGACCCAGAGACAACAGTGGACTGGATGACGCCATTGCTGGAGAAGGTGTGGAAGGAGGGCAAGTACCCGAGGACTGGAAGAAAGGATACTTATTCAAACTACCAAAGAAAGAAGACTTAAGTCAATGCAAAAATTGGCGTGGAATTATGCTCCTGTCCATCCCAAGCAAAATACTAAGCCGAATCATCCTGGAGAGAATCAAACAAGCCCTGGATGCAAAACTCTGACCGGAACAAGCTGGATTCAGGAGAAACAAGTCATGTATTGATCAAATCGCCACTCTACGCATCATCATTGAGCAAAGCTTGGAGTGGCAGTCACCTCTCTACCTCAACTTCATCGACTTTGAATAGGCCTTCGACAGCGTCGATCGAGAGGTGATTTGGCAACTACTTCGCTACTACGGGGTGCCACAGACAATCATACATCTCATCCAACAGTTATACGACAATTCTGCATGCCAAGTAATCCACAACGGGAAACTTACGGAAGCCTTCGAAGTAAGGACGGGAGTGAGACAAGGCTGCCTATTATCACTAATGACTTTCCTGATTGCAGTAGATTGGATAATGCGACAGACAGCGGGTTAGGGAAACGAGGAACCATGCATAAAATGGACTCACACGAAAATCTTGGAGGATCTGGACTTCGCCGGTGATATACGTCTGACTTCCCACAAACTGGAAGACATACACAAGTGAAAAGCAACAAGCTGGCAGAAGATGAATCTAAGATAGGACTTCAAGTGAACATAGATAAAACAGAGGTGATGAAGATTCTTGGTCAACACCAACAGCAACAACAACAGACAACAATCAGCCAGCATAAATGGGAGGAACCTGAAAGAAACAACCTCCTTTACTTGCCTACCTACCTGGGAAGCATCGTTTCAACTACAGGCGGAACTGACGAGGATATGAAAGCCAGAATCGGAAAAGCAAGACAGGCTTTCATTACTCTGAAGTCTGTGTCTTGGTCAACATCACTCAGCATCAAAAATAAGATCCGGATTTTCAACTCCAATGTGAATTCAGTGCTGCTATACGGATCAGAGACTTGGCCAGTGCGTTATAAAGAGCACCTCAAACAAA